TTCTGCAAAGCCTTAGTTGGGGGGGAAGTGGAAGACAAATTATTACAGTAAGTGCTGCAATGCCAAGTATTTAATATTTAAGGAGCTCCTGATTCTAATTGACTGTCATGGTTTAGCCTTGGGAAGGGGGAATTGTATCTGACATCTAAAAGGAGCTCCTCTATGTTATAGCTGAACATTTGAGTCAGCCAAGTGGTAAGTGTTGAGAGCTAGTCATGCTATTACATACACAAGCTTGAAAGCCATAAAAGTGAATAAACAGTTGATAAAGTTGATAAAGTGTTTTAAAGTTGATAAAATAGTTGATAGAAAGTTGAAACACATTGACAAAAATAATAAACAGTTGATAGAAGTTGATTAAAGAAAAGTTCATAAAACATTATATAATAAAGTTGATAAAAAGTTGATAAAAGTTGATAAAAAGTTGATAAAATTGATAAAAATAGAATTGAAAAGTTGATGAACAAGTTAATGAACATTGATTTAAAAAACTTGTCAAACAATTAATTCTAGAAAATGTGCACAGAACTAAACATTTGCTGCAACAGTAGGGGTCACCCATGCGGCTGAGCTGGTCAACCTGCCCAGGATACAACCACCCATCATTTGCAATGCAGAAGTGCCCACCAGCCATGTAGTGCTTGCCCAGGAGGGGTGCATAGGGCAAAATACCTTGAACTCCCATGTTCATGACTGACTTACCAAGTAGGTAGAATGTATTGCACTGGATTCCAAATTCTGTGGCATAATATGCAGCTAAATGACCGGATGCAATCTTCTTCAGCCAGCTGACCACCCCAAAGCAATTGGGGATGTTCTCACCAGACATGCTGCGCCTCTCAAGCGCTTTGTAGATCTGTTCGGCCATCGTTGCCTTTGCATGTGGAAACCTCAGTGGTGGGTGTCTGCAGTGGTGGGTGGTTGCATGATGGTATGGCTTCTACTAGCTTTATGTGCAACCAATGTTTATTAATGTTTTTGCTAAGGGGCCTTTGGATGTTGATCTCACCACCTGCATAATTTCCATTCCATTTCAGCCCCACGTCACACCAGTGAAGATAGATGCATGTGTCCTTGGCTGCAAATTTGGATATTCCACTAGGTTTACCAGGCTAGATACAGAGTTGAATGATGCATGCAAGATGCCACAACTGGATCGGGCAACGGAATCCTCCTGTGATTATTCTTCATGGCCACATAGAACTGGCTGAAGTTCCAGAGGGGCACCTTCTCCACATATGGTGGACCTCGGGTTGAAGACACAGCTCTCTTAGTAAATGTGTATGGGGGTGTGTGCCAACATGTTCCAATATAATGTGTATATATAACATGTATAGATCATTATAGATTAATAGTTTATCTTATTTTGCAGCTAGGGCTCTGATAGAAGGTGCAGAAGAAGCCAGATCAAACTCCTGAACACCTTGAACACCTGAACTCCTCAGAGATCCGCTTGGATATCCGGCTTCTTGTTCTGGACGGTAGGGTCCCACGGATCTGCCGAGTTCAATGTTCGTCACCAGCTTCTTGACGTGCCCAGGCCTAGGGCATGGACCTGCCAAGGGATTGGAAGTGGGATTGGACATCATTTCACTTCCATAAAACTTTCAAGTATGAGGACACCTGTTTTTTGCATACCTTGAGATCTTCAACCTGCCTGTCAGGCCAAGGGCATTTGATGGGGCCAGAGATGACTCTGAGCTCAATGTCTCTGGGTGGTGCTCAGTCTCCTGAATCTCCTCCTTCTCCTCAATGGGAACTGGGTCCTCTGGAGCTGGAGCCTCAGGGTGGCTCTACAATCCACTATTCATCAACCCTCCCTTCCATGATTTTTTCTTTGAAGCATGACACTAACAAATAATCCCAGTCCTTGTGTGTGGACTGTGTGGAGGGAGGAGGAACCACTTGACCCTCAACCAACAGCCACCTGTCACCGTCTTGGTCGCAATGGGCCCTGAGCTGAGCCTCATTGACCTCTTCCTGAGCTGATTCCTGAGCTGGGGTGAGGTCTGCCATGGCAATGCAGCTGACAGAGTAGGAGCTGGATGCTGGGGTGCTGGGTGCAAAATGGCTGAGGCTGCATAAATCATGTTCAAAAGTCATCATGATCAAATGTCAAGATATAAATACCTCTGACTGTCCACTTACTATATATACATATTCCTGCCTATGCCTGCAAATTTAGACTGAATGAAATGCTGCTGATCTCACACTCTGGGAGGCCCCAACCGTTGAGGTAGTTGAGGATGATGGTCTTTGCCAGGCCTGGCCAAAGCATTTTTGACTGGTGTATGAAGCAAGAAGAACAGTGCTACAGCACAGGCAGCCAGAAACCCCACAATGGTAAACAAGCTTACCAACTACAGCTTCCCCTCACTCTCCTTAGACCCACAGTCTCTTCCCAGGCGCCTACACCAGGATGCACATGTGGCCTCAGCAAGCAATCCGTCCACAACTTTAAAGCAATGTCAGGGTTCAGTGTGGGGGGTGGGCGGAGTCAGGATGTGTGCTTGTGAGCCAGCCTTTTTCTGTGCAATGGTTCAGTGACAAACTACTGAACTCCTGAACCCCTGAACTCCTGATTCCTTGAAGTCAGAAGTCAGAAGTCAGGCCTGTACACCTTCCCAAAGCTGCAGCGCCTTCTTGCAAACTTGAGCAGGCGGCTTCTCACTGTGCCTCAAGTCCAGCTGCCAGGTTGCAACAAAAAAATTGCCTTACTATATTATTAAGTCTGAAAATAAAAAATTTACGGTAAATTTCCCAATCATGCCTAGTCACTGCCAGCAGTCTGAGCAATTACCCTTGCACCATGTCCAGCCCTTGCGGTTGAGGTGCTCCACTTCCACCTCATGCCCCAAACCTAAGATGGGCATTAAAGTTCAGAAACCAAACCTGATGTTGTTTTCAAAGTACTAGGTGCAAAAACTTACAAAGCAAAATGTGCTAATGGATTGGTTCAAAAGTGAGTGGCATCGCAGGAGGTGCCCGAAAATGATTGCAGCTGCCACAGACCTATGTCTCCCTGCTGAGCAAGTGAAGGCAATGGAGGTGGCTCCACCACTGATGGCTCCCTTCACTCTCTGCCTCTGATGGCTTCAAAGCAATGCAATGATGCAAAAGTGTAATATACAGCTAAAAGCCTGGGGTCCCTTATGTGGTGCCCCAAAAAATTGACAAGGCTGATTCAATCCATCCAAGCCACGCTAAATTGCTGAATTCTGGGCAGTTCACCAGGCCAGACTGAATGCTGGGGTTGGTCCCCATGTGCTTCGTGTCTGCTGCTGGGTCATGAAAATGGTGAAGTGGGAAGGTCATCTCAAACTTCTTCCTTGGACAGGTGGGACTCACATGCTTCTAACCAGAAATCTTTCTCATGCTTACAATAACCTTAAAGTAAAAATGATGCTAGATGATGGTCCAAGCTTCACATGAAACCTATCACCTGCTTGTTGCAGCCCTGCTGAGTAGATGTAGATCTTGGCAAGATTGCCACCCTCAGCATCATCATCCTCTGGCACCTCCATCACTTCTGCCTCCAGCACTTCTGCCTTTCGCTTCTTGGGTGGGGGCTGCTTTGGTGTTGGTGGTGCCTTTGGTGCCTTTGATGCCTTTGATGGCTGCTTTGGCTGCTTTGGCTGCTTGGAAGGCTGGGCAGGCTTGGAAGGCTGGGCAGGCTGGGAAGGCTGCCCTGGCGCAGGAGGTTGGGTGGGGGGCCTCGGCTTTGGCTTTGGGTTGGACCCTGGCATTGGGTTCCATGGTGGCCTTGGAGGCACAACCACTGGGTTCCCTGAACTGGCAGGTGCAGGTGCAGAACCCTGCTTGGCCCACCACTCTTTTCTCTGGTGGCCTCTATTGCGACCCCAGTTCCTCCCCCACCACCACTTCTCAGGAGGGCAAAAGCCACAGAAGAACATGGCAGCAGCAGGGCTCAGGAAACTCCTGAACACCTGAACACCTAAAAACTGTTGAACTGCTTGAACCCCTAAAATGATGGAAGCTAGTTAGCATGTTCAATGATTAGTCTACTGATTTGGTGTGTGGCTGCCCCTGTTGCTTCTTTTGAGCCCACAAAGCAGCCGTGCAGAGGTTGACAACTGTCAAGCATGCTGAAGCAGTCTGTCACTTGCATCTCTCTGGGGTCCCAGGCTGCTGGAAAACAAGTGAAGGAGAGTGTGAGCCAAACAACTTTGGATGAGGCACATGCACATTATAACACTTCTATCAAGAATTACAGAAGGTTTCATCTTACCATCATTGTATAGTTTTGAGACAACTTTACCTAAAGGGGTCTCCTCTATGAAGTTATGAAGTAATTAACTAAATGTTCTAAGGAGACCCCTAGAAGCTATTTTGAACTTTATTATGATCAAATACCAGTTAGCCTAGCAATTTGTGTTGGGCATGAAAGTACCTATGTCTGACACAAAGAAACATACATGACAAAGTGTTCAACCCAAAATAAATCAATGCATACGTGCATGTATTCCTTCAGACTCTCCAACTACAAGTGATAAAGGTCTCACATGTCCTTTGATTTCCATATACCACCTCCTCATTATATGTATACCACTTCTAGTTGAAGAGGTTTCTATATCATCCTATCATATGTGCGGTTTCACATCGGAGAGCTAGAAGGTCATGGGCTGGAGAAGACATGCTCCTCCGTAGATTCAACTTGTGTAGCAAAGGATTCTCAAAATGATTTCCAAGCAGGATTACCTCAAGCAAACAGAACCAGCCTGCAATGCAAAAAACACTACCACCTTGTCCAAACTTGTTGGGAATATATACTGACTCCCTCGGATTCCCTGGAACATATTTCCACCATGTTCATGTTTATATAGTGGGGAAGCCAATCAATCCCCCAAAAAGGCTAAAGGCTATCCACTCGCCGGATAGATATAAGTAACCTGCAAAGCAAAACGAATCCGGACAATGCCAAGCGACACCACACTGAAGCGCGGGGTCGCTGACACATTCAGCACGCGGTGCCAAGAGCTTTAGAAGACATCATTGGTCCAGCGCTGAGCCAAGTCACCCAGATTCCCCACAAAAGTGTACCTGGAGAGGAGAAACACTGGGCCCTGGCACCAGTTTGGTGAGTGGGTAGCCGCGCTATACTGTACCTTCAATCAGTAGTAAAGTGGTGCTTGGAAAGAAGAAACACAAAAAACCGCCTGGTCGACCTATGTATCTTGCACCATCCACTCCACCGTACAGAAGCTCGCCAAACCCTTCAAACGCCTGGGTAGTCCTACCTGAAACGCCTCAAAAGCTGCGTAGGTCTCCCTACTCGTGATCCAATTTTCCCCTTGGCTTGTGACATCCACTCAGAACTCACTGAAGAGTGTCCATCATATTTACAGCCCGATAAAAAAAAATACAATGATGGAAAGGCTATGATGGAACACTTATATAGGGCTGTAAATATACAGGGGATTATATGTTTGCTGAGAAGAAATAACAATAATGATCAAACTAAGCGACTCACATCCGCCGCAGAAGTCTCCTCCCTCCCCGCCCTCCGAAACCATGCCACCCGCCACCGACTTCACCCGGTCACCGGTCCGTCTTCACGGAGAGCCAAGAGCCGTCGGCGCGCTGCACCTGGAGCCCCTGCGCCTCCGAAGAGTCTTGACCTCCGTGGAGTCGAAGCGCCGACGGACCGGATGCCGGTTGGCGATGGATCTCTTCGGGACTGGGCGAAGGATCTGTCAACATCTACTCCTCAAAGGGAGACATGACCACCCGGTTGCATGAGTTGAAGAGCTATAATTGGGAGACATGCAGGGTGTATATTATAAGTATGACCGATTGTGACAGTATGTAATGGTAGAGGTGTCAATTCATGTCGATTGAATCATTCCAGAAACAAGCACATGGTCTAAGCAGGACATCAGTGTATAAAACATATTATGTGACTGGTTCTCTCTTGTATTTGCTTGATTGAAAAGGAAAACACCTTGGCTTGGTCACTTAACCCAGCTAACTGGTGTCAAGTACGAACAACTAGATATACCATAACACCATAACACCACGACATGGTATATTATGTTTTTTTTTTAGGTTTTTGATGATACGATTACGAACTTGCACCTTGTGGAGTACATAGCATCCACGTGTTGCATCACATCTGGTCTGTTCAACGCTGCTTCATGTGAGTTGTTTCTAGGCCCCATGAAGAGACTCCACCGCTGAGAAGAGGCCAAGATACCTTGCTCTGCGAAGCCCAAGATCTATCCCAAAAGGTCCATGTAAACAACAGATTTCGATTTTATCCAGTGCCTCTTGTGAATATTCATCCTCAGGAAGTGCCTACATTGTCCTTAACTTGTGTCCTTATTAAAATCTTGAGTGATGACGTGAATTCTGATTTGGGGTAAAAGTAGAATGAATATGAATGAATCATATGTGCATACATGCATGGTCCCCAAATCCCTGGCAGTGGTGAACTTTGACCAGCTGTCAGTAAATATATATGACAAGTACCATCATCTACCCTCTATTGGTATGACAAAATACAAGACTGTAAGGGGCACAATGCTTGTACGTGGGGGTTTGACTCGCAAAGAACAACAAAACATGAGTCTTTCTTTTGGAGTGTATATTTCCCGAATGTCTCCGGCGCCCAAATGGCAAACCAGCGTTAGGAAGCCGCAGTCCTTGGCGGCGCCGTTCTCACGGTCTCACGGTCGCTGACAGGTGTGGATCGTGAGCCCGTTTCTTGGACCCAGCTGTTCATCTCTCCGTTTGGGTGGAGGTTGCACCAACAAGCTCGCTCTTTCTGTTCAACGAGTTTGGAGATGAGCCGACATCGAACAGGGTGCTCTTGCCGTTCCCATCTACTGGCAAGAAAAGCTACCGACATGGACACCCCCTCCCCTGCGAGCGAAGATATGCTCCAATCATCTAAGTCCCAGTCGCCGTAAGAAATCCTGTTGTGCCAATCAGTTGCATGCTCAACACACAAACAAAAACAGGTGGGCACCAACTGCAAACCAACGCCTGATCTCTCATCGTCACAGCAGTCTCGTCATCGAACCATTCAGTCATTGAAGGGTCATATCCAATACGTGATGAGGTATATGACCCTCTTTGTGTTGATGATACTTGACTCGATATACCATATCCAAGACTCTTTGTGTTGATGATATTTCATCATCCTCTGACTGGTGTAAATCATCTTTGTGAAGGGGAACAAGCGACTCCACAGTGACAGAATCCCACTTGACCTTTTCCTCGGAGTTGGCTGCCCGCAGGAGGAGAACCTTTGGTTCTCTAAGTCACCTGGAACAACTGAAAAAAAAAATAATAAACGCATTAGATCTGGTGAAATGTCCGAGTGGTGAGAATCAAGACCCTTGAGGAGAAATGCTTGGACGACGTGTTGCACGTGAGGCGTCACATAAAATGAGCATGGAATCAGGCACGCACCAACACTGCTTGCAATTGAACTGGCTTCTCTAAACGATCGACACGTTGGCCTTCATGTAGCGGGGCTCGCACAGTCAGTTCGCTTGCGAGTTGAATCAGACTGATTTCTGCAGGTTGGCGACTCATGTTGTGGGCCAGCTTCATTTTCAGGTCTTGAACGGTTTCAAAGGGAAACATCCGAAACTTGCCGACATGCTCGCCATTCATGTTCAGCACCTCGACCATTTCGGTGAGGGCAAAGGCATAGAAATCCAAATGATCTGGGTCAGAGGTGCAAGCAAGCAAGCATTCGGACGCTTGCATGCCCCCTAGAAGCAACAAACTCAATCCAGGCGCTTCCAAGTGGATCGTGTCGTCTACATAGAAGCCAGCGAAGCCCCAAATGGTCAACAGGAGTAGAACCAGACTTGCCGAAAGATGCATCCAGTAGCTCAACCGACAGCGACATCCAGCCCAGGATACGACATAAGGAACGACCAAACAAGAAAGGAAGGTGTTCACGATGTGGAGCATCAGTACCAGTCTTGCTCGTTTGGCCCAAATGATCGCACCGTAACTAGAAGGGCCTGACTCGGAGGATTGAGTCAGGCAAGCCCAAAGAAGAAGTCCGGGGATCAAACTGCGAACATCTCTGCAGAAGACCGGGCAGCAAAACAAGAAGACACTGAGGATCTCATGTTCCAAGTCCCTTCCCTTGGTTGCAAACCATGCATGCCATGAGTTGCGCTCTTCTTCTTTCTTCCTCTCCACTTCTTGAATCACCTCCCAGGAATGTTGCTCGAAGCTCTGCAAGATCTCAAGGCACCAAAATGCCAAGCAAAGACTCGTGAGGATCAGCACCAAGTGGCAACGAGCCATCGAGTTATATCGAACTATATCAATTTATATCGATTTCCCGTCAGCCACTAAGTGGTGGGAGAACACCGGTGCGGGTATCGGCCAACATCAAGGGGTGTGGGTATCTTGTTCCAACGACTCAAAGACTGCACGTATAGCACGTTGACTGCAGCGCCCTGTTGGAAGGGTTGTAATTATCCACTGAGCTTCTACTGTATCTGCTATCCGATGTTTGGGGAAGAGTTGGATGGGTTGGGAGGATCCAAGGACCCGGTTGTGACCCCGGTGGTGGCGTAGCTAGACAACCACCTACGTGCAATTCCTCATCTGAGCCCAACGGGACGAAGGCGACCAATGCCAGCTGTCGAATCAAAGGGCGCCCGGACACTCCTAACATACATTGGGGTGGTTGAAAAGAGGCCAATCTATAGGTAAATATTCCAGTCCCGTGTCTAGTAGACTTTAGACCAAAGCGCCCACGAAAACCCACCGGATGCACTGTGGACACTGCGTCGGGTCCACTCCCATTCCGAAGCGTCTTCCTCATGCTTAGGAGATCGATGTTCATTCACTCTGTACTCAGCTTAGACACCTGTCTCTGAAAGACATCCATACCATCCAAGCCCAGAATGGCACCAATTAGGTCCAGCTTGTTGAGCGACATGAGCCCAGAAAAAGCTAAAGCTAAACAACTATTGGTACTGCGAAAATGATCTTCCTGACTGAACTGGAGCGTGCGCTGAATATCCTTCATCTCAGAAACGCACCTAACTTGCCAACTGCCCTCCCGAGACCGCCAGCCTTACAACAGCAAAGCAAAGTATATTGGTCCGTCTGTCTTGGGCGGCAGTTTGACATTGTAATTTTGCGTTTAGTATTGGTTAGTCATGTTTGGTTGATATCTCTTTTGTAAGCACTGCTGCCAGTACATCGAAAACAAACTACCTGGATGGATACAGCACATCCTATCCATCACAAATTGTTTTTCATTTTAGATCCATGGAGCCGGTACAGGGTGAATATCTTGAGAGACATTTACATGTTCACCCGAACTGAACCTTCGGCCGCGGCTCCATCTTGGGTTTTGAGGGTCTGACAGTCCAGGTACCTTCAGCAGGTATCTGACAGTCTGTTCCTACCGATGTCCGTTGGACGGCTCGAACCTCGAGTCTCCTCCCACTTCCTCCAACGCTGCCATGACTCGGTGTGGGAGCCACACGACAAATCACCTGCGGTGCTATCAAGGCGCGTATATATCTTTCAGAGAAACCTCGAGCATATTCTGAACAAACAAAGAGACAAAGTTCGAATAACAAACCTTGGGACCCATAATGGATGTTACTTTTCCTGTCCTATTGCAAAGGGGTTTGCTCGGAGCCGCGCCAATCAGGAGAAAGGATCTACTGCTCCTAGGGTGCTTATCTATTACATTCTGTGGTGCACCGACAGCACCGGTGTTCCATTCTCGCAACAACTCACACAAGACCCCAGGGCGGTGCGCATATGTCGGCGTCGTGTCGGCAGTCCAAAAACATGAACGACGATCGTGCATCCGAGATCAGGATGTCCCTCATCTTGGCTTGTCAATTTGAACACTTCACTCACCGGGTCAAGTCTGAAGGGGAACTACTCAGACTGTGACCCTTTCGGTTCGCAAAACAGCATGGTCGGTAGGACCTTCGTGGTCGGTATGTGAATTTCAGTGAATCCGTTCGATGTCCATCGTCAGCTTCTGACGGTCGCATCGTGGATAGCGCCTTTCTCTGTCGGTGGATAGCGGGCCAGCAGCACCTGCGCAGGGTGACACTAAGGCACCCTTTAAGGGCCCTTAAGACATGGTGCCTGAAAAGGCGAACGAACGAAATAGGAGACCCAGTCCCAACACCATGAGACCAATATATATATACCCAGACACTCCATGGCACTGCCATATATGCCTACATTGACCCCCCTGGCACCACCCCAATGTAGGCATATATGGCAGTCCCATGGAGTGTCTGGGTATATATATATATATGTGGTTGTTCACTCTCCTGCGCTCACTCTCCTGTGCATCTACCCTGTGTCATCCCGTGTCCTTCTTCCCCCTGACAGTTGTTTCTGTCAGGGTTCCATGGCTTGCTTCATGCATTTAAACATATTATCGTACATTTTGTTATGAGTAACACGTCCCATGAAACAGCTCTTGAAGGATACTGACCACAACCGGGGCTGAGAATGAGCGTTAAAGAGGAGGCTGTGACATGCCCAAGCAGTCCGAGTATGTTGGTGAATCACTGAGGGAGACAAATGATGCCTGGATGGCTGATCCATTTGCTTGACCCCTCCAGAAAACGCCGATGATCGAAACCACTAAACTGTTGGAAGGTGTAGACAAAAACTGCAATCAACTGCAAATTAAATGTGTACCTATATTATTAATCAGATTTCTGGATGTTTTGATCTTGCGCTGTGTTTCTCTTGTAAAAATAATCTCGAACTGCACCTGTCTGGCGACCTCTCTCGGCTCTCCTCGGCTCGCTCTACCCGCCTTGGCCACTGGCTGTTGGAAGGCCACGTTCTCCAAATGCTCCGCTGGCAGCTCAAGAGCCAAGGACAAGCCCCTGAGGCACGAGCCGAGTCTCGGGGGCACGAGCGCCCCATAAAGAGAATACCAATCTCTCGTGATTTTTGGACTCAATCTAGGGTTCCCCCAGCCAAAAGGCATTCCGTCCTCTTGTTGTGCTCAAAGATCGAGTGGGAGTCCCCTATCTCCACCAACCAACAAGGACCCGACTTCGTTCGTCCCCTAGAGAATAGAACATGACATGACATAACTATGACATGACTCTGACTCCAAAAAGCAGCTGGTACTTGATGTACATCATCCTCCTGTATCCATTCCCTTCTCCCATTGGCACCGGTTTCCCGTAGTAGCCTGAGAAGCACCCGTGACAGCTCCAAGAGTGCTGAGTGATATTCACCTGGGCCACGGATGGCAGATTTGAGCGGAAAGTCATCCACTCCCAAGACAGCCACATCGTTCAACCAAGGAACCAGGAATTTGGGTGTCTATGATTCAACTCTTTTGAAACCACTGAGTACCAGCGACATCGTGGTAACCGGAGGCGCTGAACACCAGAATTATCATGAATTACTTCGCGCTGTTCATACCTGAAAAGGGTAGGCAGCCGACATATTCAGGTGATGCTTGTGACATGTTCTGACTGTTGGTAATGCGATTATGTTATTTCTGAAGTTGCGGTGTTTGTTGCTGTGATTGCATTGGTCTGTTGTTGTCTGCTATTGTATGTTGCTCATAATATGTACATGTTGTTGTTGTTGTTGTTGTTGTTGTTGTTGTTGTTGTTGTTGTGTTGTTGTTGTTGTTGTTGTTGTTGTTGTTGTTGTTGTTGTTGTTGT